ACCAACTAACACGTTGATGACTGCGTGACGCGGTACTCGTCCCACTTTGCGCACCTCGTGGGACATTGTGACGCGGTAACGCGTCCCACCCAAGTCATCCCTTTTTCTTGCGCTTGTGCGAGTCATTCCTATGGTCTTTGTACTCTATAGGTCATACATTAGCATACTTAAAAACCACTTGGCTCACAGAAGGGCCAAATATTCGTTTTAATGGCAGACGTTTTCCAGATCTTACGGATATGTCTGTTCAATTTATTTCCTCGTTTTCTTTTCAATAACCTAGACATGTTGATAAAAAGGAATGACAGATGTGAATACTAAACTACTCGAACGGGGTTTTTACTGAAACAGTCACGTCTAAATTAATTTTATAACCACTCAAGAGAAATTAAGTAAAATTTCCCTTCTCATGGCCTCAATACGTCATTTCGGTTAAACCTCAACTACTGCAACTCCTGATAAGCTAGACAGATCGAGCACCATTGGAAACATTTCGTTGCATCTAAGAATTGCGGTTCGAAATTAAAGCAACAGTTCAGGAACGGTTTCGCGGGAAAAAACCACCAATAATGAAGTTGTAGATGAAAACCAGACGATTAATGTATGAAAAACTGGAAAAAAACGTCGGGGAGGGTCTTAGACAGGTACTCTCCCTCTGCCGCTCAGCAATGGATAAAGACGCACGTTGGACGAGTTGTCTGAACGTGCCCGCTGTAAACGCGCTCCATTTTTCAATCAATTTTCCCTGTGGTCCCAAAACGAGCACGATTGCCGACGCGTCCAATGACGGCCGGCAAGGGGGCGGGATTGGGGAAATCCCCAAGAACACCCATGTTTGAGGGACTTTCCACCCTGTTTTTGAGTTTCTGAGGTAAGTTCGTTTATTATTTCCACTGCATATGTTCTTCACTAGGGCTCGTGTATCCCTCAGTAGTAGTGGCATTGAAATTTTCGGACCCTCCCTGAACTGTTGCTTTAAAGCTAATGGATTTGGTGTGCGGCGGCTGCGCTCGCAAAATCGCTCTTGTCCCACGGGTGCAAAAGCACAAAACGCGCGATGTCGTCAACGTGTGAAAGGCACAATATATTCCATGGTCAAACTGGTGTGGTCCTCGCACATGAATACATAACTGTTGGTTCAAAATGGGACGGCAGTGAAGGAAAAAGTAAAGAGTCTGTGGAAAGAGCTATGGTCACCGGCTTACTCACCTTTGCATTGTGCCTTTGCCCTTACTAAGTCTATCAGAGACTGAACGCGAAGACCAGTGTGGTGTTAGGCAACAGCCTGCTGCGAAGGAGGGACTTGCACTCGCTACAACTAAATGCAGAGCACTAGCGCTCTTGTAAGGTGATTTCCATGCACGGGAATACCACATCCGTGACGATTCTCTAAGAGTCGATTCTACAAACCAAAGCGTTCCACCGCTTCTGCTCGGGTTATGCCTGTAAGCAGGGTCGGTCCTATCGTTGCTACTTTTCGAAAAATTTTTACGACCCCCCTCCCCAAGGTGGATTTGATACGACCCCCCTTGACCCCTCTTTTCCCTACCTCCACCAACAAACTCATCAAAATACGACCCCCCGTTGCTACTTGTAGCAACATAGGGTTGACCCTGCCTGTAAGTCGACTACTGTTGGTACATATGTGGACCGTGGTCAAACGGACTACCACACTTTCAAGGGACAGGCAGCACACTTTGAAGGCAGTGTGAGCGCAAACTTTATAATCCTTACTCCAAACCATCTAAAGGAGCCATCCTGGAGTGAATACTGAAGAAATTTCAGCGCTGGTCCACTGGTCAGCGCGTGTAACTTACAAAATCAGTTTTGAATGTTCTTCATTGATTGCGCTGTTTTGCATGTGATAAATGTGAATTGGAAGTGTATAAACAATAATTTCAATTTTTTTTTCATTTTGGAGGAGATGGCGTAAGGACAAAAGTGGTCGCTATAGTGGATATGGTCCGTGAATCGCATCCTAGCTCAGATCTCGCGTACGTCAGCTGAGTTTCTATAGATGAATATTCGCTGCTGGGGAGTGGTAGTACAACTTACCAGAACACACTGATTTCTCTGCCTCTCTTCCTCGGTCCTGCCTGTGGGTTGAAGCACTGCCCAGGATCAGGATGATGTGGTGAGTGGGTTCGATAGTGAAGGCGGGGGTGCGGAGTGGACCAATAATAAGAAGAAGATCATCATATCAGAGATCACAAGGCTGAGAATGGATTTCGAGAATTTCAAGACAAAACAGTAACAGATAGCAACACCACACAGAAAGATATCGCGACGGTGGACGCGTCTGGATCTATGAGGTGTACGAGAATCTTCCCTCTAATTGGAAGTCCCTGATGTCGGACAGTGACGGAGTTCCGTCACTAACTAACAAGGAAGGTCGTTCAGGTGTGCCAAGCTTTTTCAAAATGGTTTCTTGCATGACATTGGGGCACATATGGGGACCACAGAAGCATGGTTCATTTTTCCTGAACGGCCCTCTGAATACCAGGGGGTCCCTAGTTCGATTCCTCGTGGTGACAAATTTTTGCATTTCGAGTTGACGTTCAAAATTCGCGCAAAATGGAGTTAGCATGAATAATTAGTACCATATTCATGATTAGGACCGTCAGTAACCCTTACAAATAGACTTTGATTAAAAAACTGGTGAAAAAGGTGTGACACCACAGTGGGGCTGCTTGGTGTCACACCTCTTACACCAATTTTTAAGTCAAAGTCTTTTTGTAGGGGTTACTGACGGCCCTAATCATGAATATGGTACTAATTATTCATGCTAACTCCATTTTGCGCGAATTTTGGAACGTCAACTTGAAATGCAAAAATTTGTCACCACGAGGAATCGAACTAGGGACCCCTTTTCTGGTATTCAGAGGGCCGTTCAGGAAAAATGAACCATGGTTCTGTGGTTCCCGCATGTGCCCCTATATCATGCAAAAGACCGTTTTCAAAAAGCTTGGCACGCCCTGAAAGACCTTCCTGGTTAGGACATTAGGGCGAGGCATGTACCGAAGGAGGATGTACCAAGCGGAAAAATGTCACATTCTATTACAGAACAGTTCAAGGACCGGGAAAAGAGTGCAGATGTGAACCAGGTTACCAGGGTGGCTCACCTGGCAGAGCGTTCCCTGAATGTGCGAAGCTTAACAAGGCTCATGATCCAGTCGTAATGAAAAGTTTACAAGGCAGGAAAAATTGTTATAGAAGAGCTCTGTACCAAGCCCACTTGTACGAAACCAGAGGCCATCCACAATGGGCAGGACGTGTCTTCGAGTGGGCGGATCTTATTAACTGCCTCATAACTCGGTTCCGATACTGCACGGAAACAGGTGAAAAGTGAGTAGTGATTGGAGAAGGAGGAAAGGCAAAGTGCGATAGATGGGTGGAGCGGGCAGCGTATGGATGGAGCTTGATTAGCAGAAACATAACTGGTCGTACGATGATGAGGCGGCGAGGGTAATAGAAGTTGAAATTGCTCAATGACAGCGGTTGACCGATGCCTAAGGATTTGATCACTCGCTCCCTGCGTGTGGAAGTAGTTCACTTCCTGACATTCATTCTCGCTCTGGAGACAGTGCAAAGAAAAAAATATGAAAGAAGTCTTTATAAATATTTCGATGATATCTCCATTCAAAAACAGAACCTTTACATTTGTACAAAGATCTCAACATCACGATCATCTTATTGCCGAGAACATTGTTCAACAGGAAATGTTCTCCATTGAGCCAGGAACTTGGTGTGACAGTTGTCCGAGTCTAAGCAACTGTGCTGATCAGGGGACTAGCAGCCACTGTACCATTGACACGTTCACGTCGTACCTTCCGTCGCGTCGGGAACCTTCGTAAGAGGTAGTTGTTCGCAGCAGCCGTGACTTGTGCTAAAAATTGTTTTGGAATTTTTCCTTGGATCGCAATGGCATCGAGATCAGATCTGCATTACAGATGACTGACGGTGTAAAAACTGGACAGACCTGACCTCGATGATACTATAGGGTAAAATGTCATTAACAACAGCGGCAATAATTGCTTAACTAAAGAAGTTGTAATGTGGAAGAGAGGGTGCCGTAGAATTTAGAATTCATCGTGGAAAAGGACTTTCACCAGACTTCACTTGGAAAATTCTACAACTGAAAAAGTGCGACTCGGTCGCATGCCTGATCTATAGGAAAGTGTGGTGTCGCAATAACGCAATTTGTGGATAGGACTTAAAGGCACGGATCGCGTTCAGATTCTCCTTGAGTGAGGTAGAAGAACCCTTAATCGCCGGGGTAGTGATACTTTCTCGACTTGAAGGTGTGAGGAGCCAATGCATTCGTTTATCGCTGCAACCGCTGTCACCCTTATCAGTCGCAGCATGCGTGACGTTTATACGCTCTCGCGTACGAGATGCTCTCTCGCGTTTTCGCTGTCCTCGCAGCCCAGTGTTCCTCGTCATATGAAGGGAAATTCCAGGGCCTTTTAGTGCTTTTTGTTTTCTTTTTCCTACTACTCATCGCACTTCTTGTCCGATTTTCGAACAAAGCAATTCATCGATCCCGACCCGTGCTAAAACCTAAATGTGATGTGAGGCCTCGTTTCAGTGGCTGCCGTGTACTGCGCCAATCATCATGCTGGCCATGATACCGTGAAGGCATCAGCGATTTTCAGGATTGCTTCTGCTGCAACGGCTCAACATCTACTCGGCAGATTCTCCACTTTGCAGAATAGCAAATATAAGCTTTTCTGCAGAATCCCAGATCATATTTCTAAAATTTTCTAACAATTCCCTGGAAGAGCCTTTCTGCAATGGGACGAATAGCGAGGGAGTGCAATGAAGGGTTAAACAAGAACGAGGAAGCGTCGTGCTGATGATCGATGACGAAGCCATTGTAAACCACTTCGGATGTATTGCTGTGACTTGAAGGCAGCGATTACTATAGGTGCAAGTGGGGCTACAGTGGGGGGGGGGGGGGAGGGTGAGGGTGTCACTGATATGCGAATGGCGAAAAAAAGCAGAGAATCTCAAGAAAGCGCAAAATGGGCAACCCTTTTGTTCGTTGATCTTCGCTCAAGGACCAACAACTTTAAGACGAGGACATTTAAACGAGTTCACCGCAAGGCGTTTAGTGGCACCATGCCAATGCACGCTCCAGTCGAGTTGCTCCAGTTGTGCCGCTGCTGGCAACGCAGCTCGTCCAAATCACCAACTAAACTAGTGGGCGGATCGCTTTTGGGGCGGAGTGCTTTCGAAGTCCTGCTCAGCAACCAGCGCACCTTTCGTCGTGAAAGCGCCACACCTCGCTTCCTTGGCAGCCAAGTAACTGCTTCGTGTGGTGCATATGCTTCCCCGATGCGCTTCCTCTTTATCGTAATCGCTTCCTTTAATTTAAAGACCTCTGCTTTGCTTGCATAAATTAGCCTTACAATGGAGAATTCAGAGTTCATATGGTACTAATTATTCATGCTAACTCCATTTTGCGCGAATTTTGGAACGTCAACTCGAAATGCAAAAATTTGTCACCACGAGGAATCGAACTAGGGACCCCTTTTCTGGTATTCAGAGGGCCGTTCAGGAAAAATTGAACATGGTTCTGTGGTTCCCGCATCTGCCCCTATATCATGCAAAAGACCGTTTTCAAAAAGCTTGGCACGCCCTGAAAGACCTTCCTGGTTAGGACATTAGGGCGAGGCATGTACCGAAGGAGGATGTACCAACGGAAACATGTCGCATTCTATTACAGAACAGTTCAAGGACCGGGAAAAGAGTGCAGATGTGAACCAAGTTACCAGGGTGGCTCACCTGGCAGAGCGTTCCCTGAATGTGCGAAGCTTAACAAGGCTCATGATCCAGTCGTAAGAAAGTCTACAAGGCAGGAAAAATTGTTATAGAAGAGCTCTGTACCAAGCCCACTTGTACGAAACCAGAGGCCATCCACAATGGGCAGGACGTGTCTTCGAGTGGGCGGATCTTATAACTCCTCATAACTCGGTTCCGATACTGCACGGAAACAGGTGAAAAGTGAGTAGTGATTGGAGAAGGAGGAGCAGAAGGAGGAGAAGGCAAAGTGCGATAGATGGGTGGAGCGGGCAGCGGATGATGGAGCTTGATACAATACACATAC